AATAAATAAGCTGACAACAACAAGCAGTCTTGTCGTCAATGAATGGACGACACAAAGGACCAGAACACGTTCACGCGAATCGTGAGGTGCATTTGATATGACATCTGAATATTATGCAAATGATTCCCGTCCATGCAGTACCCTCTCTCTACCAGACATGCAGATGAAATAATAAAGCTGCCTAATTGTTTTCCACTCATTTCAGAGATGCAGAAGACCCCCGTAAACAACCACCACCTCCCATCACGTACTACTGGATCCAAATGGATTTTGCATATTCACTGTAGATGCATCAAATATGAAATAGTATTTTATAGAAAATACGGGAAATTGAAATGCACGTCCAGGGGATATAGAAGAAATCGAGAGAAACGGCTGGGAAGCTAGGGGAGACCGAGGTTTTGGGATCAGGTGGTAGACACAATAAAGAAGCACGAAATGGCCTCCGTGGTACGAGAGTAGGTGGGTTAAGTCCAACAATACGAGGATATATGTACCTTGAGTAAAAACTGGCATCGATCGATCCAGAATAGAAAAGCCAGGGATGACCAGAAATTTGTGACACGTCGGTTATTCATATAATTAAAAATTCAGATGACTTTGTGACTATAATTGCAAGAGATTTTAAAATATGATTGCGAAGAGAAATCGTGAGAGCCGTCACCTGACATCTACGATCTGTTCCGTACAAATTACCCACCAGTCTGACAACTCACCGATTGACAAATTTTATGGAACAAACCGCAGAAACAACACACGAGCTTCATAAAGATTGAATTGATCTAGAATGTTCGACTTCTATCTAGAAACAAGCATCCCATATTTTTGAAAGTTTGTGATACACTTCGATTTTTTACCTAGCGTGCCATAAATAGCATGAGAACATCACATTCCATCAAAACAATTCCCCAAACGTCGGAAAATATGAGTTACGATTTCTAAAGGAACCGGTAATAATGGAGAAGGACGTTGAATGAGTGAAGCAATCCGAAGACAGAAGCGATCAAACCCGAGAAGCACCTCGAAGGCAAATATTTACTCCCATTCCCCAAGAGTTCCACCTATATCACTAATTTCCACCGAATTACACGCCAACAATAGCCCGAGCAACGTTGAAATGCGTACTCCATCATCTAAAAGGAGAAACGAAGTTGGAGTGGAAGCAAGCGAGGGTAGAAGATCAAGCCGCAATGACTCCCAGTCGTGTGCTCTTATCCCCCGGCATCGCTGTCCAAACTATATAACATCTCCAGGGCAATTATTATCAGATGAGAAACGACTCTGAGGAAGCAAGCCAGGCGGTTCGTGAAATCGGCGTTTCGCTCGCCCGTTGGTCGGCACATCGGATCGCATCAAGTGAGAGATACGAATGGAGAGAGTATAAACTAAAACGAGAGGGTTGGAAAATAGTGGATTTTGTTGTACGAGGGAGATACAGATATGAAGAAGGGCTTATGTATAGCATCTCGTAGTGGCACGGGTGGAAGGTGTTGGTGGTGGTGTTGGTCGCGCTTGCGCCGAATTCCCCTTATCGAGTTCGAGAGCAAAAGCGACGGCTGGTGGCAGTGGTGGCTGTTGCCGGTGGTAGTTTGTGCTTGGAGTGAGGGTAGTGGGGTGTGAGGGGATGGAAAAGATATCGCCGGTTTGTAGAGGGGTGTAGCTGAATGGCATACAGTTGTGCCGAGTCAGTGGAACGAGCGACTCACTGAAGTCACATCATCAACGCGTTCCTCACGTATCCCAGCATCTGGTGATTCGGTTTGAATCGGCAATTTTAACGAGTTCGACGTTTGCGGATGGGACAGCAACGCTTGTTGTCGGTGAGATCATTGTCGCTCGTTACAATGACGGACACTTGGATTAAGCGAATTAATGAAACGAGTGGAATTCACATTACCGGGTGCAGATGTGACACGTGAAGGACAACGCAGTGGTTATGGTGTTGAATGGTTTTGCGATGTGGATCTTGAGGGTTGTGATCGCCTTAGCGGCGAGTATATCGGCTTGTACGGGACCCTTGCAGTGCTCCAACGACACCACCAGCAGAAATTCAACGGAATCATTGAATGGTATCGAGTGTTTGGATAGGCTGACTACTCGGATGGATGATCGTTTGGGTTGTGAGTGCCACAGTTGGTCACGGAATGAAACAAGTACGGTACTTGAGGTCAAGTGTCTTGAGGGTACACCTGTGATCGACACACTCCCTGGTAATGTTCAAAGCTTAGTTATTCAGAGTGCTGATGTCGAGCAGGTAACAAACATGCTCAGGGAATTGGAGAATTCATCATTGATATGTCTGAGTGAGCTTACTGTTGTCAACGTATCATTATCGGAATCCAATATTACTTTGCCTCGTGTGTGTGGACTTGTTGTGTTCAATATATCTGGTGATGATTTAGTGGACTTGAGTGACGTGAGACTGGTCAATGACAGTGATCTGAAAGTATTGGATTTATCAAGGAATCTATTGAGTGGATTACCAGCAAATGCATTCAGGACGCTTACCAGTTTAGTGTATTTACGGTTGCAGGATAATATTATTGACACAGTGGATGAGGATGCATTTGCTGGATTGGAGGTACTGGAAAATCTTGATGTGTCGGATAATCGGTTGACTCAGCTGCCAGATGCAACATTGACACATCTGTCCTCACTGCAAACACTGAATCTCAGTGGAAATCAGTTGAAAATACTCGGTGCTAGGTGGTTTGAGGCACTCGGTCGTTTGAGGGAATTGGACGTTTCGAGAAATGGTTTGACCAAAGCAGCTTCCGGTGCGCTACAGCCATTGCCGGGTCTCTCAGTACTTCGATTGGCGGAGAATCCTCTCATGGAGCGTGACGTCTCATTACTACTCGGCACAGGAAGACGTTTAGAGACTGTTGATGCATCGCGCACTGGTCTTCTACGAGTACCTGCTGCTCTCACACGAAGCGTTAGGGCACTCAGACTAGCCGGTAACAAGCTCACGTGCATCCGGGATGGTGACTTTGATGGTTATCCCCTGTTGAAGATTCTCGATCTATCCGACAACCTGCTCAATGTTGTCGAGGAGGACTCCCTCGGGCGACTCGAGACACTCGAAGAATTGGACTTATCAGGAAATAGACTCAAATTCATACCCAAAAGATTACCCAGCAGTCTCATTCATCTGAACCTGCGCGGTAATCTCATTGAGGATGTTACATTCGACGATCTCGATGGAATTGACAGCATACACAGTCTCATGTTGGATGACAACATGATTGAGACGATCGAGGAGGGTGCCCTCAGCCAACTCCCTCTCCTCACAGAGCTCGATATATCGAATAATCCAATTAAGCAGTTGCCAGCAAATACTCTGGCCGGTCCAACAAGCCTAACCAAGCTACGCATGTCGGGGTTGTTACAATTAGAATGGGAACACGAGAGACGCGGTGACATGGCATTTCCTGTACCAACCCCAGATCGTCTTATTTACCTTGATGTCTCCAGAAGTCCGGCATTAGCTGCTCAACTGCTTGCTGACAATGCAGCGTTATCTGCATCCAAGAGTTTGCTCATTCTAAACTTGGCTGACACCAACATCACGAGCATCAGATCTGATCTTATTTATCTTCTGCCGCAACTGCAGACACTCGGTTTGTCTGATAACCAGTGGAACTGCACCAGTGATATTTTTTGGCTTGGCGAGTGGATTAGACAGCACGGAGAGATACAACCATCTGCTAAGTGCAATTCCACTGATGAATTCACCGACACACAACTCCGGGATTTACCATCGCCACCAACAACAACAACATCCACGACTGTTAGGACAACAACTGTCGATTCACCGGTTAACTTGGGGAACGAGTACTTTCCAGGTATCGGTGTGCCAAACGTGTCTTCCGAAAGTGGTAGTGCGGGAGTTACTCAGTCGATGACAAAGGGAATCGTTAATATAACGACCATTGAAATTACAACTGCCTTGACTCGTCAGGATAAAGACGTTCATTCTGGTGAATTAGGCGCAGAGAATAATCGTTTCAGTGCAAGCTCAACTTCACAGCCCCTATACAGTGACACCAGTCGGCTTAAGTCACGAAAGAAGCTCCAGTCTAGTATGGATAATGAAAAATCCTACGGCAGCAGTGAGATACGACGAAAATTCGGCAAATCTGCCAGTCGGAAAACACTGAAACCCGGAAAGTTCATTAGTGCTTCATTAGTGGAACGTCACAAGTTGCCGGAAATTCTGGATAATCGGGTGGATTCTCTGATGAGACCGAGGACAACTATTCCCAATAAAAGTGGAATTTATACGACACCCGAAGGTGATAGTTTCAACAATGTTCCCAAGCCCCGGAGTTCCAACAAAATTGCATGGAATTCCAGAACGAGCGAGAGTATTTCCGAAACGAACGATGTCGCTCAACTCGTTGAGGATAAAACAAAAAATCCACCGCAAAATTACATTCTGGCGAATGCAATTGCAAATACAATTGCCCAGGAATTGAATAGTCGTGCGACAGAAACAGATGCTAGGATATCAGAGCCTATGGGTGCACATCCTGGTATGCTGGTACTTGCTGGTGCTGTTCTTGGTGCAGCAGCTGCACTCACGGTTGTTCTGTCACGTCGGGCGACAATACGACGCAGAGACAGGTATCACAGACACGAAAATATCGAAGTGCACACATTGACACCAACCACTGAGCTATGGTGACCATCTCCAACAGGTAATGAAGATTGGTACAGTGAATCAATGCGTGAGAATGACGAGAAATGGTCAGGATTTACCACAAGTACTTGCTGAAGACAGCAGTCTTTCCTGAGATGATGTTCAAGAACACTCACATCCAAGTTTGTGCATTAAATCCAGATGTTGAGAGGAAGTTTATGGATGCTGTATAAATATGCAATTGTGTTCTGTTATTTTCGGAGGGACTCGACAAACAAGCATCGTCTTCGAGTGACGGTGGAACTTGAAGTCAACAGTGGACAAATTACCATAAATAGCAATAACTTCACGGCGGGATAATCGAGGGACATTGTGACAATAACATAATTTTCGGTTGAGTGACGGAATCTTTTGACATGGATGTGCTGGAGAAACGACAGTTGCAGTTGGAATATACATTACTGGATGGTTTGGAATGGGGCGGCCCGGAATGGGGCGTTTGCGAAATGAGAAAGTGTGAAATAGTAAACTCTTGAGACATGGGAGACACTTTCTGTCTCTCTGCAGGTGGCATGTGCCGGGAAAAGGGACAGATGAAACAAAAGGAACCTATGGAGGAGTGTGAAGCGAAAAAACTCATTACCTGAGGATTAAATTTTTTATTTTCTCGGCTGAAATAACCTTTTGACTGAGCAACTCGGCCAGCTCTTTGTTTATTTTCAGTGCATTACATGAGGTTGCACAAGGAGAGTCTCATGCTAGCATGGGAGTGGCTGATGATAAAAAAAATTATGGAGAATTGATAAATGATATTGATAATAAGCAATAAAGAGGGTAGATATTATCTTTCGTAAAAGTAACCCGTGTCAAAATATCGACTAAGATAATGAAGAATAAAAAAACATTGTACAAAGATATATATTGTGTGGTTTTCGTTTAATTATTTCTCTCATCTTCGTCTGCATGGGGTAATTCATGATCACTGGACTGAAGTTCAGAGGGAAAAAAGGGGATTTTATTTGGCTGCATTCAGAGCATTCGCGGGTAGACCTCGTTTTATATTTGCCGGTGGTATCATTTTAATATTCAACTCACGAGCAAAGTCAGAAATATTAATAATTTAGCCTGACACTGCTTCATTGCTATTCCCAATTTAATCATCCCTTTACTCTTTTATTTCCACCTGACGCCCATACATCTACCGTTTTTACTGCACTCACCAGCAATAATTCAACGGGGCAGAAACATCAAACAAAGTTGAATGTTTAATGTAGTAAAGTAGATTGACCCGAAGATGAAAGAAAAATATTTCCAACCATCTCGCCAGGATTCAGGCTGAATAAATGTTTGAGAGGTCCGGTATCACGGGACTGGTGGAGAGAAAGATGAACGGATAAGCCAAAGTGCCTGGGGAAAGAGTGAACGAGGTAAGAAAAACATAGTTGAACGTATTCGGCAATGAGGAAGAGCTGAAAATCCGCCAGGGCAATCTCTTCACCTTGGACTATCCATTTTATTTACCAAGAGTGTCTCAACGTATCCCTAGAGTCACCAGACTCTTCTCATATATCCCTTGACATGGGATCCTCCATTTTGCCCATCATCTCCCCTGCGTTCATAAGAAAATCCCGATTAACCCCATCCTCTGTCACCGCAATGATGATTTATTATCTTTAACGTTAATCTTTAAATTTTTCACGCCCAACGAGCAATTTTTCCTCACGACAGAGCGCGTGTTGTTTAAATTTTTTCAAAAGAAAATTATACCCTGGAATTTGAGGGATAATAATTTGATCGAGTGATTCACAGAAAATTCTGACTTTCTGTTGAGTTTCAGAAATTCAAAGGAATTCCACTATAAAAAAAATAATTTGTACTTAAAACTCGCTGTCAAATTTCTCGACACCGCGAAAGGGGGAGAAGGAGGAGAACGAGGATTAAGATTATGCGGGATACACGTAAAAAAATAAAGAATAGTACTATTAGGATTAGGAGAAGTAGAGGAAGCAGGAAAAGGATTAGGAATAGGAGGAGAAGAGTTGAAAGTCGGAGAAGGAGGAGGATAAGGATTAGGATTTCGGGGAGGAGGGGGAACGGGAGAAAACCAAAGAAGAGAGGAGGAGGGCCAGGGGGAAGATCAGGAAGAGGAGGAAGAGGAGGAAGAGGAGGAAGAGAAGGTCGACGAGTAACAGTGAATTTCGAGGAGACAGCGTATAAGAGCGACACTTGGTGGTTGGCAGTGGTGGGTAGTAATTCGGCAGATAGAGCCAGGATGGAATCGATCGTGCGGTGCCCTCTGAGTACGTGAGAGGCACCAATACACGTGAGCCCCCTCTGGGGCTTGTGGGTGGCAAAGGGGGATTAAAGGGAGAAAGCGAATGGCGGGGAGGAGAACGGGGGGGCTAGGGAGTTTGGAGAAAACGAACGAGTATAGGAGATGGTGGAACGCATACCCGCAGAGAGACAACTAAAGCCTCACCGGTCCTATGTTTCCCATGGTTCGAGGATTCTCGTATAAACCCCAGCGTCATGTGTCCCCCAGCACGGATATCGCATCTCCCTAGCCCATCCAACGACATGGGCTTAGCTTCTTTCATCGTCTCTTTTTGTCTCATTCAGATGCTGCCCTAAATATAAAAAAATAGAGAAGGGAGAGAAAAGAGGTGGAAAGAAGTTGAGCTACCCTCGTCCATTCTCATCTCCAGTGGACGTGACAATGTGAATGGCCGAATTTATCGATGGGAAACCAATGAGGGGATATTGTCGTTATTCTTTTTGTATAATGGATTTTTTGTAATGAATTTGCGATGTGCTACATCGGATTTATCATTTTTTGACTAGTGAAAAATTCAAGGTGTAATTGGGGAGTGAGGAATAATTTCAATTATTGGGATTGAAATGGTACGACAGTTTGGAGTTGATCAACGCAATGCGTCTGGAAGAGAAAAGAGTACCGGGGGATACCGCTGGGCTGACCAGTGTCCAGTATTTTTCAATGTTCGGTGAATATGATTAAAAACCACGCGGGAGTAATTAATTTACGAGTTCCGACTGCTGGCGACCATTGAATTTTGTGGGATAGCGCACACCACATGGGGGTTTTCGGGTTGATGCTAGGGCTGGTGGCCCAATGGGCAAATCAACCTCCACCGAACATTCATCTTCTGTCCTATCATCCTCACGCAATGCTCGATGATTCCAGGATAATCGGAAATTTTGGAAATTACAGCGATGAGAACGAGTGCCTGATTGCTCGGTTCTTTTTTTTTTTCGCTTCTCCAATCGGTCCATTTTTTTATAAACAATTATAAATGAATGGTTATTACTCCTGGAACCATGAATAAAACATTTGCATCGATGACGAAGGGTTTGTAAACAATTGACATGGAAATGGGGGTTCATTGTGAGGGGATTAATCATTGTGGGATTTTTCATCTGGACATTCTGCGAGGATTGCATCAATAAACATGAGGTAAATCTGTTCGGAGGGAAAAATCATTATTTCAATGGATATTTTTTTTATTCGGAGGAAACCCACGGAAATGGGAATTTCACTGAACAGAGAAATGAAAAAGTTTGGAGTGCGATTGAAAAATATTTTCATAATTGACGCGAATTGATTGAATTGATACGGAAAAATAATGCAAAAATTCCAACAAATTTGCGTTCGTGTTCGAGTTCTGATAAATATTATTTTACATGTGAATATATGATGAATTCGTTTTAATTGTGATTGCTAGAGCGTTATAGCAGTTACACAAAATATGAATAAAGGGGATTCAGACTGCATTCATTTTAACTCATCAATATTATCGGGTTCCCAAGAAAGACAAGCGCAATTGTTGAAGTTTTATCTAGTTTTTTCCTCATTTTCCTCACTAATTTGAACGTCAGTGGATTTTTAACAAAGCAGCTATTGTGGAAAAGAATTGGTATGAAAAAAAAAATTTAAACCTCGCATACGAAAACGAAAAAAATCAAATAAAGAGATAAATGAAGTAAAAGAGTTCATTCATTTGCTATAACAAGTACTTTATAGAAATGGAGATGGGAAAAAGTTAAATAAACAGTTTTATTTGAATCAAATCATCCATTTTTCTGGGTGCACCTGTTCAATGTGAAAATTGCAATTCTTGGCAAAAATAGATAGGAATAATGGAATGGATGTCCTCGGGGCATCAACAAGCCATGGAGTACTGCAGTAATGTACTTCAGAGTGTACGTCTCCCACGGGGCCAAATGCTCCGCTCCAAACTATTATTATTTACTCTGTGCATATGTGGGGGATTGAGGGGGTAAAAAAGTTGTGCTCTCCGGGAAAAAAAAAACGAGAAACCAAGAGGTACGGTAAAAATAAAAAACACGATAATGAATACAAGAAAAAAAAATATTTAAAATACGATTGTACTTTCAGTCGTTTATTTCGCGCGTTTTGTATCGATTTCTGCGGATTACTAGTGGTCGCAGTTCACTGGTGTTTGATATTTACGACTGGTGAAATATCGAGTCCTAAGAATCGATTTGTGATGGGGGCATAAATAACCGTGTAATTGCGGTCGCGACCAACATCTAAATTACGATTGATTAGTCGATTTATTTCACGCTCCGTCGGCATTCGATTGCAGAGACATTGCAGAGGCCAACGAATGTGGGGGAATATTTTTTTCATGGATTTTATGGTTTATTCGATTGAGATTTCTATGGAGAAAATAAATTTTTCATTTGACTTCAGAATTTCAGAGAGGAAATTGTCGAAGCAATTAAATCATCGCGAAAGTCCATTAATTAAAGACTCCTCAACAAATCATTAAAATATCATTAGCACCCTTGACCCAAATGAATCCCACACCCCCTAAAACGCAGTCATCGTTGATTTCAGATTAATCCGTCCTTGGAAATAAGACTCCAATAAAACGAAATGCCAAGCTATTAGAGCCCCAGTTAATCCTCATGATCCCAAGGAAGTGGGTGAATCGTTGGGGTCCAGAGCCCCTGAACACCTCAAATAATTAGTTAAGACAGCGGTTAAATAAATGTCCCTCTAAATACAAGTGATAGAACACCGGAAAGACCTTCCTGAAGATTTTGCTCTAATTTTTCTGGTAAAACTTGAAGAAAGAAAAAATAAAAAAAAAGTGATGGAACACAGACGCTTGACGGATGGCTTAAAAAAATTTGTTCATCCCAATAAAACAAGATATAGGGAGTAAATATTGATATGAATAAGATAAACAATTTTAATTCATGTTCAAAAATGGAAGGTGGCAGCTGCGGATGGCGCCATCTTGTCGGGAGATGCTCCCGTGCAATGGGGTCCTGAGATGGCGGGACTCTCACATCGCGTTTTTAAATAATTATTATAATTATTTACCATTCCTAAATAAATCTGAATAAATTTGGTCTTGTTCCCATCAATTGAACCATTTTTTTAAAGCCATCTTGGAAATATTCCCATTATTTTTTGGCTGACAAGCCGTTAATATTTTTGGGAGTAAAAAATTCGGGGGGATAAGGATGAGGGGAAGAAGATTCTTCCAATCTTTTTCTCTATTTTCTCATGGAGTTGGAGCAGCCCGGGGAGAATAAGGGGGGTAGATATCAGTTTGATATAAATTTATGAGATTATCCCACCCTCTACTTGGATGGTCCGACTAAAGTCCTTTTGGCACTGATGTCCCAAGTGCTACCCGTATAACTGCTCGGTCCATTCCACTGGAGATTTACATTTAGTGCTGGATCTACATTAATTCACTTGATACTGTGTATGGATCCAATCGCAATATACCATTTGCATTACACCGTTTGCTTCAAACGACTCTCCACCCGGTGGACTATTCCATTAGTCGATTACATGCCCATTAAAACAATAGTGA